TTGAACAAGCACGGGAGAAATCCCAGGGGGAGCCCCTGCTGCCGCCAGCGGCTCGGGCCCCTGTCGTCAGGTTTGATGTGAAGGTGTCTGGTGCTCGTCAGGGGTTTTAACCTGTGCCCACGGGTGTGTTGGTGTGTGAACTGGGAGCATGGCCGACTCTCAACTGGTGGGTGAGGAGGGTTGGCCTGGGCTGTGTGTCTGCAGGACAGCATCCCCAGAATCTGGGCCGTGAAGCCCGCAGGACAGAGTCCCCAGAGTCTGGGCCCTGACGCCCGCAGGACAGAGTCCCCGGGGCAAGGGAGCCACTTGCCTTCTGAGACGTGCTGGGGGCAGGGTCTGGGCTGGAGCCTCTGACCGAGCCCCTTGCAGGTCCTGGATGTCCTGTGCTCTCTGTGCGTGTGCCATGGGGTCGCTGTCCGTTCCAACCAGCACCTCATCTGTGAGAACCTCCTGCCGGGCAGAGACCTGCTGCTGCAGACACGTCTGGTGAACCACGTGAGCAGGTGAGTGGTGGGCGCCGTCGCCACATGGGTCATGAGCAGGGTCCGGGCAGACTGTGGCCTCCTGTTTCACCCTGTCTGTCCCCATCCCCGCGAGTAGAGCAAGCCTTGTTTCTACCTGTCCGATGGGGCGAAGACAGCAGATGGCCCAGCAAACGTGCGTTCACTGGGGACACGTGTCCGAGGCTTCGCTAACATGCGTGTGTGTGCGTAAGCCGCCCGGCTGTAGGCTGTCTGTCTGTAGGGCAGTGTCGTACGCAGCGGGCTCGGACCTTCTAGCACGTACCCGGAATGCGGTCCCCCGATTGCACTGTGAGGGGCCCACTGTGTACGATAAAAGAGAACCCGAACCCTAACGAGCTGCACGGGGTCCCCCAAGCCCTCTGCCGTGCCTTCTCGCCGTGGGCTGGCAGTGGCTCCCAGAGCGGGCGGCTGTCACGTGGCCCCTCGGTGGCTGCCTGGTAACTCGTAGGGAGGAGATATGGTGGATACGGGGCATCGCGGAGACATGACCTAGTGCCCCAAGCAGTGGGGTGTGGGTGGGAGCCACGAAGGGCACTCCGCTCACATGTGACTCCCGTGTCTTTAAAGCATGCGGCCCAACATCTTCCTGGGCGTGAGTGAAGGGTCCGCGCAGTACAGGAAGTGGTACTATGAGCTGACAGTGGACCACACAGAGCCCTTCGTGACGGCCGAGGCCACTCACCTGCGCGTGGGTTGGGCCTCCACCGAGGGGTCCTCCCCCTACCCTGGAGGGGGTGAGGAGTGGGGTGGAAACGGCGTCGGGGATGACCTCTTCTCCTACGGGTTCGATGGCCTGCATCTCTGGTCGGGTAAGTGTTTCTGGGACCCTGCTGGAGTGTGGCAGGTGCAGGGGGGGCTGCTCCTGTAGAGGCATGTGTTACTGAGTGGCTGACACTAGGGTGATGGTGCTGGGTAGGAAGGAGAACCTCCCCGGGCCAGGACGCAGGCATGTGTGTGTGCGACTGTTTCTGAAGGCCCGCACTCCGGACACGCTGCCCCAGTGCTGGCAGCCTCTGTGCACGCTGCTCTGGACGCCTGAGCAGGGTGGGCAGAGAGGGCAGCAGGGCAGGCCAGGCCCGCCTCCGCCTTTTGTGGGTGCTCACCCTGCAGGCCCACCCAGCACTCTTAGTTGCACCTACGCTAACTCACGCTGAGTCCGTGAGAACCATGGTCCTAGGCCCTGCTTCAGCCTGAGAGGAGAGGAGGCGGACGGCCGTCTGAAGACAGAGCTGGGCGGGTCTGCCCCACGCTCCTGCACTGCCCTGGACACGCCGCACGACTGCATTGAGATGCCCTAAGAGCACCTGAGTTCCACGTCGTGCCTTTCAAAGGCCAGGCCCTGGTGCCGAAGTCCTGCTCCACACTCACAGAGAGAGCAGCCGCACTGCAAAGGCCGCCTGGGGCAGGCCCAGCTCAGAGCGCAATCGCTGTTTCGTTTTAGGTTTTTGCCATAGGGCGTGTGCATATGCTAGAGAGACGCAGAGAGACGCAGAGAGAGGGAAAGTGAGGAATCATCCCACCCACCAAGGGAGATGGCCACGCCACCGTCCCTTCTCTTCCATTCTCCTTTCAGGATTTTGGGCATGCGGGCACATGTGCCTGGCATGATTTTCAAGCCATCATGTCCAGGGCTGTCACCACAGCCAGCCATGTGGGAGTCTAGTACCTTAATTCCCACGCACCTGCTGGCTCCATTGCTATGTCCGTCAGCTACATGTCGCAGTAAGCGAGGAAGCAGACCGTCTGAGCTGCTCTGCTGTGACATGGTTTTTAAAGCTGCCTTTAGTGTGCTTGGAGAATTCTGGAAGAGCCACTTGGTAGTGAATTTATTGCTTGTAGATTTGTGTATTGGTAAAACAAAGGGTGTCCACATTTTAAAAAGTAGATATCGTCTAGTCGTGGCATTCCAAATATGTTCTTAGCAAAAACCAGACATGCTCGATATGCGGAGGTGTTGGAGCACACACCAGCATGTCTCCTGGAATCTGCTCTTGCCCTTGCTCAAGTTGAGAGCTCGCTGTGTCTGAGCGTGTGTGTTCGGGAGAACCTCACCGTCCCATCTGGGCTGTGAGAAACAGGTGCCTTGGGAATTAGCAAAGGGGTTCTGGTACAGTCAGTGGCTTAGGCCATAGGCTGGCATTTATCGGGTACCCTTCTCACACCTCAGATGGGATCCCTGTGTCTACGGTCTTGTGTGAAGTGAACAGAATTGTGAAACAAAAGCACACGTTGGTCATCTCGTAATGAACCATGTGCTGAAGGAGTCATGGTCACATTTCTGCTTCGATCTTGAACCACAAAACAACGAGCACTTAGTATTGGGAACAAGACGGAAAGGAAATCCCTTCTGTGCCGAGACTGTGTCACTTGTAAAATGCCAGTCACCACACCAGTGCTGCAGGGCGATGGGATTTGCATTCTGCTCGTGAAATATCAAGACTCAGAGAGGTTAAGTAACTTGCTGAGGGTCCATCCAACAGCAGGCATGAGGGAGCTGAGTCTGACACCGCCGCACTGCCTGCCCTAAGATAATGTCCAGTAGATGCCATCAGTCCGTGTGCAGACAGTCTTGCCTATCAGAGGGTTTGTTTTTCAACAGATAGCAGCCTGGCTCCTGAAAACCAGCAACTTGTTCTTAGTGGAGAGTTCTGCACGCACGTTGACCTGTACTCAGAGACTCACCCGTTCTAGCCTCGCGTGCTGCTTTTCACGGCCTATTCAGCCTTCGACTGGCTTTGAAGGCGCTCTCGCCGTCACTTCCGTCACCTCCCTCCCTGTGTCCCGGCAGGCTGCGTGGCCCGCACCGTGAGCTCTCCAAGCCAGCACCTGCTGAGAACGGAGGACGTGGTCAGCTGCTGTCTGGACCTCAGTGCCCCGAGCATCTCCTTCCGGATCAACGGCCAGCCTGTCCAGGGGATGTTCGAGAACTTCAACGTGGACGGCCTCTTCTTCCCCGTCGTCAGCTTCTCTGCGGGGATCAAGTGAGTGAGGCTCCGCGTCTGGTGGCCCGTGCCCTGCAGCTCTGCGCTCTGTGCCCGCGGCCGGTGCCCCGCAGCTCTGCGCTCTATGCCTGGCGGTCTGTGCCCCGCGGTCTGTGCCCGGCGGTCTGTGCCCCGTGGTGGCCCGAGCCCCGTGGCTCTGTGCTCTGTGCCCGTGGCCGGTGCCCTGCGGCTCTGCGCTCTGTGCCCGGCGGTCTGTGCCCTGCGGTCTGTGCCCCGCGGTCTGTGCCCGGCGGTCTGTG